ATAATAAAATAATAAAATAATACCCAAAAAATACAAATAAATAATACAATAAATACAAAAGACAAAGACATCGGTTAAACATGAGAGCATGAGCACACTATACGAGTGTGAGCACGCGTTCAATGTGCGCTGTGATGGTTTGCAGGTTTCATATTCTTCTGAGCACAGATATCGTATATGTCGTTCTTGTGTACATATAGGATATTAAGGGGGGAAATAGTGAGTAAAATATAGCGGTTTAGGATTCTCATGATTGGCTGCTTCACATTTTTCACACGCTTGTCGCTGTTGTTTTCCGTACCGGAGAAAAGCCTTGACGTCTCCTGAGTCCGCTAGCTTGCAAAATATAAATACTCGGAAACCATTAAAAATTCTTCTTGCGTTGAACTTGTTTCGTGAGCTCTGAAAAAGCCCGTGTGAAGTGGCCGGGAGAAAGACGCATGCACGAAATGCGTTCTAATCGCCAAGAGAAAGACACCGAGGCGCGTGAGTGGGGAGCCTTTCCTAATTAATTAAAACAATTAGATGATGAAGCGATTAACGAGGCGATGAGATTTGCGTGGCGTCACGTGATCTCGACATCCGGTAGAGGGCGGCGTGTGCGCTGCGTCATAGAACTCGTTCGAGGCCATCAGATAGATTAGTATAACGAGTGAAACTCGAGTATTAAGCGTTGATTTATTGGCAGACGGCCGCGTAACAACAGGAGAAACAAGATGTGGAAGATAACGCGGTGATGGTTTTCTGCTCAATGACAACCTCCCATAGATCAGATATGACGCCACGGGTGGAGAACGCAAAACTGCGGAAAGGTTGCAGGGGATGTGTGTGCGCGCGTGTGTATATGTGTGTGCGCGTACGTGCGTCTTTGCGTGTGCGCGCGTGAATATACGTGCGTGCGCGCTGTCGAGAGCTTCCGTGGCCTAGTGGTTAGGTTTCGTACACTGTCCACTGAAGGCTGTGAGTTCAAACCCTGGCCAGGACGCAAAATATTTTTTCCCACTTGAGTTCCGGACCACAGCCAATCAGCGCACTCCATTCACTCGGCTAGAGAGAGAGAGAGAGAGAGAACGAGAGAGACCTCGTACCTATGATGAGGTTACATCTGTCGAGTCCTGCCCGCTGGATGGCAGCACTGACCTCACTCAGGGTCGAGAAGTGATCGCTGATTGGTCGGAATATCGACACACTGTCGGGCCTCAGTCCTAGCATGGAGAGGAGGCTCTGCTGCTGCTGGTACTGCTTCCGACCTGCGCATGCGCACGCGCATCGTGAGAAAATAAACGGTTAACGACAGCGATAGATGTGCAATGTGCAAGCAGCAGCAGCAGCAGCAGCTATTCAGATGCTACCGTGGGGAAATCGGTGTGATTATGACATGCAGACTATGTGTCTTCATTATTGAAGGTCTCTGGTCAGTGCTAACTGATCAGCAGACATGTGATCGCTCTCATTTGCCTCCCACGAGAGGTCTTTTATTTCGCGGTAACGGCCCCGGTACTGTGTTTACGTGTGTAGCGGAGGTCTGGGACACGTTGTCAGAAACAAAATTAGTATTCATGTAGACATGTAGACATGTAGTCTTAACATGAACCTTTTCTTGTAGACCGGACATACTTACAGCGCGTGTGTGAAACTCACGATGTTTCTGTCATCGGTTTACGAAAAAAGATCATTGTAAAGACTTTACCGTCTCTACACGGGGCGCAGGTTCCTTCTGCACTCACGTGTGTTTGACAGGCTTATCACCCGACGTCATTGAGCACCAAAGCTGTCGATATTACTCTCTGATGGGAATAGCGGCTATCGCTAAAGAATGCGTAGCGCAAAGTGCTGCCTATGGATTTCGTACGACTACCGCAAAAACAACAGAAATTACTAAATCAAATTAAAATTCGTCAGAAACCATAAAAACATTAGTAATACGTTAGAAGAATTGGTTATTTTAAGTTAGTTGGAGGGGTGTATAGCGTGGGCACACACAACATTGCGCGTGGCTACGTGTCTTGTATATATTCCCGCGGGCGTCGTGCGTACAAACATGGCTGGTGCGAATCTTCGGCCTTAACCGAAAAATTACCAAATGCAAAACGTTACGCGTTAAAATAATTGCTGCAATTTGCCCTAATAGATCATTTAGTATTGTTTAACCCACGCCCATACGCACGCACGCGCAGACACGCGCGCAAGCATGTACTCAGACACACGCGCATGCGTATACACCCACACGATGTGATACACACACGACACACACACACACGACAGCACACCCACACACACGTGCCGCGGCGCAGCACCACACAGAAAAGCCACACGCAGACTCAGAACACACACAATCACACACACCACACACGGGGCACGCAAGCACGTACCACGCACGGCACAGGCACAGGCACACCAGGCGGTCACACACACACACACAGCAGCACACAGCCCCACACACCGACATATGATATATATATTCTATATATATATATAATATATAAACAACCACATATACCAGCGACATAGCACACACTACCAAACATGAGGCAGTATGGTACGCCGCTCGCTTTAGTGCGACGATCTCTCCTTCCTTCTCAGGTTTTGGCGCGTACGTGGCCAGCATGTTGATGGCGATGCACATCGCCACAGAGAAGCAGGCAAGCGCCGTCAGATCATGCAACCACGGCCACTGCCACGGATATTCCATCTCGTGCTCGTCTACAACTATAACACAAATAATGAAATAACTATATAATAATAATAATGTATAATTATAATAATATAATAAAAATCAATAAATAATCACCCGGCAAAAAAATACAAGATAATAATAGCAATAAATACAAAAAAAAGACAGCCACCTGCCCACCGGATCGTTAAAGCATGAGAGCGGCAGTGAAGGCACACTATGAGACGTGTGAGCAGCCCGCTTCACCTGTGCGCGCTGTGAGATGGTTTGCAGGTTTCAGACTTCTTCTGAGCACTCACCCCCCCCCCGGTCTTGCTGTCTGAGGCACAGATATCGTATACGTGTCGTCTTGTGTACATCATAGGATGATTCAACGGCGAAATAGTGAGTAAAATATAGCGGTTTGTAGGAAATTCTCATGATTGCTGCTTCCGACATGTTTTCACAACGCTTGTCGGCTGTTGTTTTTGTCGGCGTACACGGGAGAAAGAGCTTGAACGTCTCGGCTGATGCCCCTAGCTTGCAAAATATAAATACTCTCGGACAACATTTTAAAAACTTCTTCTTGGGCGTTGGAACTTGTGTTCGTGAGCTCGTAACAAAAAAGCACGGTGCTGAAGTGGCGCGGAAGAAAGGACGCATGGCACGAAAATGCGTTCTAATCGCCAAGAGAGAAGACAGCCGAGGCGCGTGAGTGAACATAGATTAATTAAAATTCATTAATTCAAGAATGATGAAAGCGATATAAAGCGAGGCGATTGAGATTTTGCGTGGCGTCACGTGATGGCGTCGACATCGCGTAGAGGGCGGCGTTGTGCCTGGCGTATAGAACTCATTCGAGGGCGCGATCAGAGTAGATTAGTATAGAAAGAGTGAAAACTCGAGATATTAGAGCGTTGATTTATTGGCAGAACGGCCGGTATAACAGCAGGAGAAGCAGATGTGGAAGGATAAGGCGGGTGATGGTGTTTGCTGCTCGATGCACAACGGCTGCCATTAGATCAGCATACTGACGCCACGGTGAGCGAACGCAAAAACTGGCGAAGAGGTTGCAGGGATGTTGTGGCGGCTGCGTGTGTAGTTATGTGTGTGGGCGGTACGTGCGTCCTTGCGTGTTGCGCGCGTGAATATACGGTGCGTGCCGCCGGCCTGCTCGAGAGGCCTTCCGTGCGCCCGCTAAGCTGGCTTAGGTCTGCGTACCACGTGTACCACTGACGGCTGTGCAGTTTCAAACCCCGGCCGGGACGCAAAATGTTTTTCCCCACTTGAGTTCCGGACCACAGCCAATCAGCGCACTCCATTCACTCGGCTTCCTCGAAGCAACAATGTAAAATGAATACCGCATATCCCTAACCCTAACCCTAACCCTAACCCTAACCCCAACACGTACCCGAACCCTAACACTAACTATAATCCAACCATATATATGAGAACCATTTATTACAAAACACTATCTATGGTGGGTCCGGAACTCAAGTGGGGAAAAAAATTTCTCAAGGTGTAAAAACCTGGCTCTCAACATTGGAGACTGTAAATCTCCCGTGGCTCGAATGACTACGTAAAATGGCGGTCCCGTCTCCAGTAATACTAAGGCCAATGGGGACGTAAAAGATCCACTGAGGGCACAAAAAAAAACTCTGGCTGTGACCACCCTCAGTGCATTTCGGCTAAAAAACTAAACTACCTGGCTTTACCTAAGCTAGGTCACACCCCATGGCTAGCTATAGCCCAAGCTATGGCAATCAAGCAACAAGATTTCTCTGCGGCTGTCTCAGCTAAGCTGTGCCGTCGATCAACAGGACTTCTTGCCAAGGGACGCTATCCTGCGCCATGTAGCGTTGACATCGTAGGCGTAGCCTCGCAGTTTAATATATATACATATATATATATATATTCTGTGTAATGCCCGTTTCGGTCTCCTAGGCAATTATTACACGTTCTCACTATTTCCCTCTGCATCCATATTAGCTTCACGCACAAGGAAAATATTCCACGGAATGGTAGCCGCTTGAAGGCAACTCGGTTGATTAAAAAGCGGAAATCTTTCTGTATAATGTAGAGCTCATAGGACTTAATAACATCACCACTATAGACTTCAATAAAGCCTTTCCTTGCGGGTGGATGCTGAACAGTAGGTCACGGAGTTAATTACTGTCGCCACGTATACCTGGCTAATTACGTGTGACTGGTTATTGATGTCAGGTAATATCGCGGGCGTAGTAAAACAGAGTTGAGATCTATGGTGCCTACAAACACATAGTACAATAAGTAGTGTACATTATTGGTTTTTAAACCAGCAGTAGCAGCCACAACTGTAGCAGCAGTAGCAGCAGCAGCAACAGCACCACCACCACCACCAGCAGCAGCAGCAGCAGCAGTAGCAGCAGCAGCAGCAGCAGCAGCAGCAGC